GCCCAAATCCTTAAATGTTTTAATTTCTTCATCCTCTTCCCCCATTCTTAGTTTCTAACCTGTGGATAATTTTCATCTTAAAACTTAAATGATTTTATATAATTATAAACATTAAAACCCATCAAACAACATCGATGAGCCCATATTCCAATCAACCCAAGCTCATGTTGTCCAAGGCATTGTATTTTGAACTAAAGAAGAGAAAGTGATAGACATTCCCACCTGTCCGAAAGAGAGAGCAAGGAGCTTTGAATTTGGGTGGACTCAACTAACACAATGCAGGGGAGCTACAAAAATTGGGAGTAGGGTTTTCACGAGAATTTGGTCCGTATGAGAAAGCAAGGAGTTTTAAATTTGGTTGTATTCAACTAGCACGATACAGGGAGCCAAAAAATTTGGAATTAGGGTTTTAACGATAATTGGGGTTTAAATTTGGGTGGATTCACGTTAAGGGTCTAGCCTTAACCCCTTGTTTTTCAACCGTAAAATATAAATAACCAAACATTTTATAATAAATTTTTAAAAAGTATAAGAATTTGATTTTATAAAACAAAATTATATAAGTGAAAGATAAATTAATAAATTTCTTATTTATATTTTGGATAACAATTTTTATAAAGCATTATATTTTCAGTGAAGAAAAATCGTTTTTCCAAATCTATTATTGAAATATTTAATGATAAATTAGCGAGGTGAAAATATTATGGTCTAATAATATTTTAAGCAAAATTATATTCAATTAGTTAAATTCATCGGTGTGTTGTCGTATATTTTATCCAATAACTTTATATAAATAATCTAACAAACTTTTTTTTTCTACGGTCTACTATGCATTTATGGTTTGAATTTAAATATTAGGGTATTCTTTTATAGGCAAAGGTTGCATTTGAATAAATTAAAAGTTATTGATGAGAAATCAAACATTGGCAAGAGACTACCACGGATCTTGAGAATGGAGGTGATGCTTCTCTTAAAATTTTATAATATATATATATGATTTTAATTTTTAAATTTAATAATTATTAAATATATTTATTTATAGTTTTATTTTTAAATTTTTAAATTTTTTATATTTATTTATTATTTATTAATAATATATTATTTGACTTTTAAAAAATAATAGTCTAAAATTTATCATTAGTTAGAGATACATAGTATTATATAGTATATATTAAAATCTTCATCTTATTAAGTCATACCACTTCTAATATGATATTAGAATTACCTCTAATGATATTAAGACATTAATCATTAATAATGGTGGGTTAAACTACCCATTATCAGACTAATTTTCGACAATTCATTATCAATACAAGATAATGTAATAAAAAAAAATCGATATAAAGAAGTGTGATAAAAAATCTTTATCGATTTGAGAGGGTATATTGAGAAATCTCATATTGACTAAAAATGCAATAACATTATAGTATACAAATGAGTATAATCATCATCTTACTGAATTGGTTTTATATGATTGAGTTAAGTATCCCATCATATTTATATAATAAAGGATGTGATTTTTCATGAAGATACAATGTATTTTTTTCCTCCAAGTTTAATTTTTAGGGAGGAAACCAACAAAAAAATTCAATAAATCCAGACTCTAGTGTATAAAACTCAAACTCTAAAATATAATATAAATCTAAATGACACAATTTCACATGTTCACCCTTTAAGAGATGAAGAAGAAACTCATGATGGAGAATCATCAAAAGAATTTTGTACTAAATGTGACTTTAAAGTCTCACATGAACCTATTAGTAGAGAAGTCCCACGAGAACCTTTTAATGGAAACAACATTGAAGTGTCATATAAACTTCTATATAAAAATAATATTGAAATTCTACGTGAACCTCTTAATGAAGATATTACAAATTATTTATTGACCACAAAATGATTGTCAAATCATCTCACTTAACTTACTTATCAGCCAAAATTTTCTAGTAAAGTTAAATATTCTATGAGTCACTATCTATCGAATTATAAATTGTTAAAAATAAATAAAATATTTATGAATCATTTATCTACTATAATTATCCTTAACAATTAGCAAGAAACTTTACTTGATCCAAGATGGAAGACCGCCATGAATAAGGAGATGACTCACTTCAAAAGAATGATAATTGGATATTGGTTTATTGTCCACTAGAAAAGAAACCAGTAGGATGCATGTAGATTTACACTATTAAATACAAAACATATGGTACAATTGAAAGATATAAAGCAATATTAATTGTAAAAGGATATACTCAAGCATATGGGGTTTGATTATATAGAGACAGTTTGTTTTCATAGCAAAAAATAACACCATATGAGTTTATTGTCTTTGGTAGCAAATTTAGATTGGTCCATAAAGCAATTTGATATAAAAAAATATATATTTTTACATGGGGAATTAACTAAAGACGTGTATATGGAACTCTCACCAAGTTACATCGTACCCAAAAAACATGAAAAAAAAAGTATGCAAATTAAAAAAAAATTGTATGGATTGAAATAATTTCCATGAACATGTTTTAAAAGGTTTATAAACTTTATAATATTTGAATATCATTAGAGTAATTTAGATCATACTTTATTTTTGAAAAAACAAGAAAATAAGATAATTGTATTTATTATATATGTGGATGATATGATTATGAGAAAAAAAAGTATAGTGTTATAAGAATATTTATTAAAAGAGTTTTAGACATTATTAGTAAATAAAATAAAGTGTTACAATAATAATTTATTGAGCAAAATTTATCAATAAAAATTAATAGTTGGCTTGTATTAATAATTTTGATCTAAAAACACATTATTAGTAAATAAAATAAATTAAATTATATAGAAAATCAAGTTTGAATGCCTTTCACTTGAACATTAATAAGGCATTACACTAATGTATGTTGTTCATGATAAGATTCTTTTGTACCATATACTTGTTGAAGGTGTTATAAAAAAGTAATAACCACAATTCAATCCCCAAACATCAATTATCAACATTTAATACACACTGTCTAATGTCACAGTCAAGTCATCATTACGTTGTCCAAGGCCCAACTCATAATACAAAGTATACTAATTTATTATGGGGGCATTTTCGTCTATCCAATATAGTACATGGCATACAAATTTAGGGTTGCTCTCGTCAAATATTCACCCAATCATCTTGCCTATCAACTTTTTTGTCCAACCTTTGTTTCTTCTTCTTTCTACTCTTCCAATGGAGGAACTTGACATCATAAACACTGAAAACTTTGATAACTCTTATCTTGCAACAGTGTTTGCAAATGATCAAATCATAACAAATGAGAAAGAGATATACTTTCAATGTACATCTCCTAAACTTTTTCGAATTCCACACAATTGCACATACTCATCACTTTAAAGGAAAGAATATGAACTTCTTTATGGATTGCTGAAGACGCCTTAATCAATAGGTTGTATTATTGTCAACAAAAACTAACAGGTGATGGTTTAATTATATATGATGTTACTAAAATATTTTTTTGTTATATTGATGTATCTAATATGATTACTTAGAAGTCACAATTTCCTTTCGATACTATCATTGAATTATATGTTAAATATACAAGATCTACTGATGAAATAATGATGCTTCTAAACCCACCTGTTTCTACCTCTTTCACAAACCAAAATAACATCCTTTCTTTTGAAGCTATAATTTACTTCACTCGTCTTCTTCAACATGTAATCATCATGGAAAGTCCAAATGGTTATAGTCTTAGTTGTAATCCTAGAATAATTATAATCAAACACAAATGGTATTTTGTTTAACTATTTGAAAACATTACTTAAATACTTGACTATAGAGATCGCAAACAAGTAGCTAAAATCAACTATCGTCGTCCAGTTTAATTCTGAAACAAATGATCATTCACGACTCAATACATATTAAAACTAATATTGATGTGGTTCAAATGATCAGCCACTAGAAAAAAAAAAACTCTACACCCAAGTGTACTAGTAAACAAACATGAAAAAAAATTGAATTGTTTGTTTAAGTTAAAAGTATACAAAGATAAAACCTAACGAAATAATATATGACTTAGAACATAATACATACATTGATAAACACGAGATAACAAAGTTCACATTTGTCTCACGATTTAAAAAATGATTTTCTAATAACTTTTTATCATATATTATTTCTAATTTAATTAAGTTTAAGTATGCATTTTTAATCTATAATCTTTTAATATTTTGGATCATGAATTTAAATATCTACAAATATAAAAATATTATATATATATATATATATATTAAATATAAAAATATATGAATATATATTTATTAAATATGTATTTATAAAATATATAATTGTATAAATATGTCTTTATTAAATATATAAATATATATTTATTAAATATCATATTATATAAATTTGTATTTATTAAATATAAATAAATATTAAAATATATCAAAATATATAAATATCTATTAATTAAATATATAAAAAATATTAAATTTATTAAAATATTTAAATATATATATATATATAAATAATTTATATATATATTATAATATTTTAAAAAAATCACGATTCAAAATTCGATCTTCGCTTATTGAATTTTGATTATTTTTTTCACAAGATTTTTCATTTAAAATTCGATTTCTGGTAACTGAATTTCAATCTTATACAAAATATATATATATATATATCTTCGATAAATGAAGTGAAAATGATAATTTTAGCAAATAATTATATTTTTAATATTATTTTAAAAAAGAAATCTCAGTGTTATCCCGGATATGCCAACTTTGAGAAGCATCTAATAAGATATTGAATTATTTTTAATTAAAACACCACAAACTCAAAACTAGCCTCCAGGAATATTCTCCACAAAATTCTATATTTTCCATCGTTCCATTTCTCTTTCCCCTCTCTTAAAAAGCACCGCCATTCTCTCACCACTCAACTCAAAACCCAACACAGCATCTCTACCAAACTCATCTACTACACATTCTTCTTCTTTTTTTCCTTTCAAGCTCGCCCAATGTCGAGTTTCATCAGAAAAAAGCGAGTCACTGACCTGCTCAACGACCAGGCCCGAGCCCGACTCGTCGGTGGCCATTACCGGAATTTGAACTCCTGCGACCAACTTTCTGGTGAGGGTGAGTCCCCCTCACTATCGTATCTCGTCCACGGTTTCCTTGAAGAAGACACTTGCGTCTGTAGCGAGGACTCAGTGTTCGATGACTCGGACTGTGACCGAGTCGACTCAGTAGACGACTCGTCCGACTCGGTGAGTGATTCATCCAGTGTCGCAATCTCACCTTCCATCACTACGGACCCTTACCGGAATTTACTCATTGCGCATGTTACTGAGGGCGCGGAGAAGTTCGCGTTTTTGAGGGAGCAAAACGCAATACTATACCGGCGGAACGTGGCGGCGTTTCTCCGGGAGAGGCGGCACGACGCGGCGGTGTGCGAGACGGCAGGGGATGCCTCAGGCGGGAGCCACGAGTTCATCGACGTGGTCCAGCCGGGAGCCGCCACTTGGCGGTACTTCGTGGACCTCGACTTCCGCGCGCAGTTCGAGGTTGCCAGGCCCACGCGACAGTTCGCGGAGGTGATGAACACCGTTCCCGGCATATTTGTCGGGCGCGCAGAGGAGCTGAAACGTACCGTTTCAACGCTATGCGACGCGTTGAGGCGGTGTTTCAGGAGCAGGGGGCTTCCAGTTCCGCCGTGGAGGAAGAACCGGTTCATGCAGAACAAGTGGTTCGGGCCGTGTCGTCGAACCATGGACCCGGTTCGGCTAGCTGTAAACGGTGTTAGTTGCAAGTTGGTGGGGTTCAACGACGTCGTTTTGGAAGCTGGACGTGTTGTTCGGACAAGATAATTGAAGTAAAATTGGTTATTAGATTATCATTTATTTAATCAAATAATTAGAATTTTGTTTTGTCTTTTCGGAAGTTAGTTAAATTATAAAATAAGATTTATATTACAAGTTTGAGTTTATACAAAGAAAAAACGAGTGCTATTTTTATTTTTTAAGTTAATGTTAATTATTTTTCATTTATAATGCTTCTTCTGCTGTGTTATGAAGTTTTTTATATTATTATATTTTTAATATTTTACAATAAATAAATTTTTAATCAATTAAATATTAGATAAAAAGTTGTTGAGAAAGTAATAATTGTAAAAATTCTATACGCGAAAAGAAAATTAATGAGTGCTTTGTTAATTTTCTAAGTTAATGTTAATTATTTTTCATTATAATGCTTCTTCTGCTGGGTTATGAAGTTTTTTATATTATTATCATTTTTATTATTTTACAAAAAATATATTTTTTAATCAATTAAATATTAGATAAAAAGTTGTTGAGAAAGTAATAATTGTAAAAATTCTATACTTGAAAAATAAAATAATGAAGTAATATTTTTTAGAATTTTGTGATGTATTGACTTCTATATATATATATATATATATATATATATATATATATATATATATAAATATTACTTTTTAAAAGTTGTCGTACTCTCTTATCTATTTTTTTTGAAAAAGAAAATCTAAAATAACACTCGTTGTAAAGCTGAAGAATAGAGAATTTTGCGTGGCTATTTAAATGCACTTAAATTCAAACAAATGATGATAAAAAGCGTTGAAATTAACAAAAACATTTTAAAAATAAAAGAATGTTGATCAATATTGAAATATAAAAATAAAGATAAATTTAATGTTAATAATTGAATTAATTCTGTAATTTTGTAAACAAGATCAATTATACAAAGTGGATGTTTTAGGAAAAAAATAATGACTTTTAATTTTTGTGTATTTCTCGTAAGAATAATGATTAAATAAAAATGACGTTGGATTGCATGGATAGAAATGCGGCGAATACACACTGTTGTATTTCAGTCTTCACTGAGTTAGAGGAACCAATGTCACGTGTGGGCACAACTGGTTCTGGTTGGAACTTGCAAGAAAAGTTTTGTCGTATATTCATGCATTTATTAAATCCTTTTAAACAAGAAAGGTATATTAAACAAATAAGTTAATTAATAATTAACCCTATTTTATATTGAAAAGATGCTGAACATCATACAAAATTTTCAAAGGATATATTAAGTAAAAATTAGTTTATTTAAAATTTGTCAAAAAAAATAGTTGTAATATATTTTGTTAGATATCAAAATAGGTATAATCGATGTTTTAAATATTTTTTTTAAGAAATATATTAGATTAAAAAAAATTGTAGCTTAAACTAAATCAAATTTATTTTAATTTGACCTCCTCATATTATAATCTATGGATTTATGTAAAATTAACATGTAAACTTATCAGATAAACTGTTTATAAAATAATAATTATTTATAAATAAAAATAATATTATTTTATTTAATATATATATATATATATATTATAAATTAATTTGATAAGAGATTCATTTTTCTAAAAAATAAATATCATAATAATTTTCTAATTATTACTTATTCTAATATTTAATGATTAAAATTAATTATTATTTTAAGTTAATAAATTATTAAAAATAAATATTGATTATAAATAATAAAATTTTAATTCTTATTTTAATATTGAATGATACATTATCTTATAATTTATACGTAAAGTCATTATATCTTAAATAAAAACTAATTTTATTAATAAAATTTAAATTTAAAAATATTTTTTTATTTTTTATTTTTATTTAAATATTTTTTTAATTAATTGATTGGTATAAATATGTTAATATATATTATTTAATTTAATCAGCTTAAAATTGATTTATCTACCCACTAGTCTAATATAAGATCAAACTAAATATTTTGGTTCATTTTAAAATATAAGTAGGTTTGACTATTAAACTTTTTGTACTTGAACTCGAAATATCAAGTCAGACTAGATTAGATCATCCATTTTAATAATTTTAATATTAAAAAAAATTACATTATACCATCTTAACATAAATTTGCAATTTTATTCCATCACAAAAAGATCTTATAAGATACAAAAATAAAAATAAAATAAAAGATAAGTTTTTATTATATGCTTTGCATGATAAATTTAGTAGTGAAAGATATTTAGGTAAAGACTATCTCAAAATTAAATTAATATATTAATAAAATACATAATGATGTATATATGAGTAAAGAAGATGATTCAAAAGAACTATTCTTCATTCGTCAAACGATTACCCTTCACTTGGTTTGACTCAATACTTACATGTATTAGTATGATTTTTTTTTTAGAAATAAGTTTAAGTTTTGAACTTTAGATTTTGCTAGCTAGTGCAATTAGATTTTGGCTAGGTCTTCCTATTTTGGTTTGAAATTTTGTTTCTTTTTCATTTATTCTACTCTCTAGGCATATGATTAGTAAACTTCGTGGTATCAACACAATTGGTCTTCTCCTTTGTTCACAATGATGTTTAATGTTTACATTAAAAAACACATGATAAAAAAATGAGAAATTGATATTGAGAATAATATTATTTGATGAATATATACATTAAACTCTTTGACAAATGTAAATCTTATGACTTCTCCATTGTTATACCCGTAGAGTATTGGGTAACAAAATCATATCAATCACTAGTTATTAAATGTAACAAATTGTTTATGTCCACCGAGAATAAAGATATGCTTAGCACATAATTACTTGTCTTTTAACATCTATATAATTGTGTTTTCAATGTCTTGATGTTAAGGTCATAATATCCTTAAAAGAGTTGTTGACCAAAATCAAAATTAGATGTTAAAATAAATTACACTTGGAGTACAGTAAAATTGTTTGTGATTTGGCTAATTTTATAAAATTTGCTTCTATTTGTATGTGTAATTTTTTTTTTTCAAAAAAGTGTAAATGAAATATTCTATTTAGAGGGTATAAAGTTTTGTAAATTTAACATGTAAAAATGAGAAAAAAAATAACACATCAAATATGTAATTACATAAGCTCTAAAGTTCAAAGTGCAAAAATATATCATAAAATAGATAAATGTTTAAAATAACCTTACTTTTATATTCAATTTAGTATAAATCGAGTTTAAATAAAAAAATTTAAATAAAGAATTAGAATAAACTTGAGACAAGTTTATTTTCATACGTCAATATACATATAAATTTATAGTCTAGTTTTAAGATATACCAACAAGTTTATTACTGTTGCATTATAGTGTAATTATTTATATTTAATACTCATTAATGACTATTGACAATAACATATTTAGTGATGATGTTTTAAATGAAACAACATATTTATTGACAAGTTATTGTTTTGTTTTTCAAGGCTATCAAATGTTACATTCCTAGTCTTGTGGGGTAAGTGAAGGGACTAGAGTAGACATTAAAAGTTTCCTTTCTTTCATATAAAAAGAAGTGTCACTCTTAAACTTCTCACATATTCTTTTTGCTTATGTTCACCTTTATTTGTGGTTTCCTTTCAAGGTTATTTTCGGTCATCGTCTTTATTTCTTCATTCTTTGTTCAGAGGTACGGTTTGGTTCTCCATTATCATTGTGTCCCTCTTATTTTCTTTGCTTGTATTTGTTTGTCATGTCCTCCTTTGTGTCCGTTAGCGATTCTTCTCTAAAAGGTGAACTCTTGGTTGACAAGAAAGCTCACTCTATCAAAGAAAATTATTTCGATGAAGAGAGTATGCATATATATATATATATATATATATATATATATATGTATATGTATATTTGTATTTTGGAGGAGGAGGGTATTGTAATAGGTAGAATGACCACCATGAGCACTCCTTTTACACGGAAGATAATCCCTTCACCACTATCAAGACCTCTAAGGTCGATTTGATAGTTATTGAGACTTGCTCGACTATAATAGATAAAGTGTATGTGAAGTTTCTCATAAAGAGGGGAGGGGGGCTTTAGTTTTATATAAGAATACCTCTTCAATGACCTATATCTTTTCCTTCCATTTATAAATTTTTAGTATAAAATGCTAATTACAATGTAGCCCTTGGCCAACTTGGAATAATTAGGTTTTTCTTTAAGTTTTCCAATTTTTGTGTCAAATCTACAAATAATTTCACTTACCAAATTTATGTATTTTTATCAACTATTTTGTAACCTCGACCACACTCCACACTTCCTCTTCTACTAGCAACGGATAAAGTTCAAATATTGAGTTAAGTATTTATTGATGATCGATGATAGATTGGACATAGAAATATCAAAGAGCATTCCTCAACCAATCAATTGTAAAGAGGTTATCCCTTACATTGAGGACCAAATACTGTCATTTATGGGTAAACATTGATATTTTTTCTTCATATTGAGTTTTCATATTATAAGACTTATTAACCTTATCCTCTTTTTTTCTAGGAGGTTGGAGAAAGATTTTGACTATAGGAGAGTACATGTAAAGCTCAAAGCAACCCCTACCAACCAAGTTGTTAGAGTTTGATCTTCATCTGAGCAACCTACCAAGAAAACAAAACCTTTGGCAACTACTCCAGAAAAAAATTCAACTAATGAAGTTTATCCCAATGTCAAGGTTGCAATTGTTGAATAGATTCCCAAGACTACTCTAGCTCAAGAATACAATGACAAGAAGGCTTGGAAGAGGTTGATAAAGAGGTCAATGATGCTTAAATAAGAATGTTGGTAATTGGATGAGGTTGAGGAATAAAAGGAAAAGGTAATGGTGAAGAAAGATGTAAAAATTCATTGAGATGAGCTTGACATGACCAACATGAAGCTTTGTAAAATTAGGAGATCTTCTTCACGAAGATGGTTTCAATATATTCATGAGTCAAGTCGCTCCTTTCAACTTAAGGATTGACTTGATCAACTTCAATATTAAGAAAAAAGTTATGGGTGAAAAATTAATAAAGGAGGAATAGATTAATATTTGTAATGAATTTCTCTTTAGTTGAAGAGACTTTTATCATAATCGAAATTACTAAATTTTATATTATCTTATTTATTATAATCCAAATTAATCTTATATGTTGAAAATTACGAAATCAATATATGTTTGAAACAACGTAACTCGACATATAAATATCATTTATAGTTACTCCTAATAGAAAAGTTGTCAAGCCAATATACCACAATGAATACTTAAAAAATATATCAATGTATAGGAGTAAAGAGAATCAAAATAAATAATATATCTAGTCGTGTACTTTATGTTGTACTTTCAAACAAAGACATTCTAAGTCATTGATAGGATCAATTTGCATGTTTTCAAGAATCCTAGTAGCAAAGTTGTCAATTAATATACCACAATAAATACTTAAAAAAAATAATATCTCAATATATAGGAGTAAAAAAATCAAAATAAATAATAAATCTTATTATACACTTTATGTGCTTTCAAACAAAGACATTCTAAGTCATTGAAATGATCAATTTGCATGTTTTCAACAATTCCAGTAGCAAAGTTGTCAAACAAAACCAATATACCACAATAAATACTTAAAAAATAATATCTCAATGTGTAGGAGTAAAAATAATCAAAATAAATAATACATCTCATTATCTACTTTATGTTGTACTTTCAAACAATGACATTCTATGTTATTGATAGGATCAATTTGCATGTTTTCAAGAATAAATCACTATTTGAGAACAAACTAACTTGGGTCATATATGCTTCGACATCACCAACTCACTAAGCTCAATGTAGTGAGGTTTGCTTGGAGGTTCTCATTGGTTGCATTTCCTTCACATGACATTTCAAATTATTAATGATTATTGTCTCATCCATTTTAAAAGTTATTAAGTTAGATTAAATGTGAGTTAGTACCATATGATAAATGTGATCCTAGAAGAGTTTTACTTTAGTCTCATGGTGGACACTAAATATTCTTATCTTAACATCAAGAGATTTTAGGTCAAGAAGAGAGGAGGACAAGTCTTCATAATTTACATGACGAACATTGGATGATGAGATCATGATCGAGAGATCTACATACTAAGATTATTTGATGATCAATTCAATATTTTAAACAAAATATGAGAAAATAGTTATATACATATAAGGAAGATGATTTAAAAAGTGTAAATGAGATGTTATATTTATAGGAATATAAAATAATAAATTATACAAATGAATGAAAATAAATAACATTGTCATAATAACCTTAGTATTTACTTATATGAAGGATAAGACTGAATGGAGGGATATTCATTTTGGGATTCTTATGCATAAAGTTGTCTGTGAGTTTTTGAGGATTAAGGGCCAATATGTCAAAGAACCTCTTTGATATAGAATAAACACATTAATGATAAATCTCTAATTCTTAAAAAATTCGTCGTAACATATTAAATTAAGATAATATTGTTAAGCTGAGAAATGTCTTATTATGTTCTTGTTGCAACCTTTGTCATAAGGAGGATAAAATACCAAACATCTATATTTTAGGTGTAATGTGGTAAACAAGTAAGTTTTGGACATGGGTTCAAAAGTATTGCATTTTCCAATTTCTAATATTAACTCCATTGTAAGTTTGATTTACATGGAATTTAACTCTTAAATTAAGGATATGGATCTAGCTCTAGTCATTAATGTATTTTGGATTATTTAGAAAATGTGAAATCATGATATATTCCAAATTTCAATTAGTTTCTAAAATTGTGTCAATGGTAAAAGTAAATGTAGCTATATTGAGCAAATAGTCACATTATTATATTATAAGTTTGCTTGAATTGATTTTATTTTCAAATATACATTTTCTTTTTAAATATTTTGTTCATTGTGTTTTCTCTCCACTTTTTTATTTAAATATTTACCTAATAATATTTTTAACATTCCGTAAAGAAAAAGAAAAATATGACAACATAAGCCCAAGAGCATGATAGTTTGGTGGTATTCTGTGAAGACATTTTCATATTAACTATGATGTCAACATTTTATCTGTGTTGACTCTGATGCTACCAGTCATAAGAGTAAGAGTCAAATTTAAATAATGAGAGATGGGAAGTTTCGAACATCTTTAAACGTACTCTCCTTTACACACACATATATTATTTATCGTATTATAAATCGCGGAATTCTACCATTTTTTTTACAGGTGTAATTAATTGTGACCCTGTAATATGTATAAACTTATGAATGATACTAAAACTTTTTCCCCAATGCAAAATTAATTTTGATGTGGAATCAAATTAAATAAGAACTCATACCTCTTAAGGTTAAAAATATTTTTTAAATAATTTTATTTTCATATTTAAAAGGTAAACAATAAAATTTACATGCTATTAAATCGAACATATTATATAAATTAATCTTAGTGAGTTTTAAATTTTACATTTGATAATAACTATTTCTTTTATAGATTAATATTAGTTTATGTATAAGTTAATCTGTAAAAGTTATACTGTATTATTTAAAAAAATATATAAATCTAAAATTACGTTTATTAGTTTTAGTTTTAATTTCTTAAAATTAGAATGCTTAACTTTCGCATAAAATAATTTAATTTATAAAAATATTTATTTTATTTTTTTAATTCTCTTAAAATAATTTATGAAAATTATGTGTAGATATTTATTTTATTAAAAAAAAATTCTCATAACATACTTTCTAATATATATTCTACTATTGATTGGACTTTATTAAAAATAACAAAATTATGAATCTCGCTTTTTTAATGATAACTTTGTAATTTTTCATAAAATATGACTTATAGTAAATAAAGTGAGAAAGAGTATGTCCACAAAATTATTCTGTTAACATGGCATAAAGTATTTTAAAGAAACGGTTTACCGTTAACCTATCTAGATGTTTCATGTTTAAACAACTCCAAAACAAAGTACAATGTTCTTTTCACTTTTTAATGTTTTCAGTTTTATTTTTTAATATGTAATTTAAGTAAATATAGTAATTATTGGTCGTACATGTTGCCAAACAAAAATATTATTATCAATTATTATATTTTAATAAAAATTTAAATAGTGAAAAACACGCAACGAAATGGAAATACTTAACAGACGAAAGGCACGAGAGTTTTAGTTCAGAATGGTGGCATTTAGCATAGATTATGTTAACACGGTGTCGACATGCGCTTTCCAGATTCTTCCTTGGTACTCTGGAAAGCATGCTGGTTTTCTTCAATGATTTGGATTTTTATTTTAAAGCCCACGCGCTTACAGTTTTCTTTTAATGTTTGGAAAGTTTAAAATAATGTTTTTTTATGTCATCAAATTCTGGTAGGATAAAAAATAACTACATTTAAAAAAATGGGTAACATTTTTATAAATAAAAGAAATTATTTTTACATCAAAATTCTTAAACATCAACCTAAAAGTTATTTTTTTATATTTAGTAACTCTCCCGTGCATATAAAGAATGATTTTTATGCCAGTTCTTGTAAGATCTTATTTAAAAGTTGTGTTTTAATAATTTTAAGATTTTTTTTTAGTACTTGAGGATTTGTGAGTAACGATGATAATACCAATCAAATTAGTTTTTTTTTAAAATATATTTTTATTATAGTGAATGATGAAAACATATATATTGTATTTGATTTGTAGTAGGTGACATTTTTTTTGATTGAATTCGAATTTTAGAACGTTTTTATATATTTGAGGTTAGTGATTTATGGGTCTCCTTTTTTATGTTAAAATTGAATCTGTGATTGTTTTTTAAGATCTCAATCACGTTATTACATGAATATCTCCACTTGGATTGTTATTGAAATTGAATTGTTGTAGTTTATGATTATTCTTTTATCTATTTGAGTTGATTATACCTTATACATAATATTTTTATGTTTTCATGGTTTAATTGTTTGAATCCTATATTTTTTATTGTTTGTATATTAATTATATAATAACAATGAGTAAATAAGGAAAAAAATGATATGGTATAATAGGAAGAAAATATATTATAATATATAGAATTTAAGACTTTATGATGATTAAAATAAAATAAAAAATAATTAAAGAATAGTAAGTTTAAAATCAATTAACTTCATAAAGATTCATGTTCATATAATTTGAATTTCTCTTTGATGACCATTCATAATCTAGCAATTTTAACATCTAAAGATTCATCATTCAAATAAGTTTTCATCATAGTAACTTTCATATCCATAGAGTACTCATCCACACTCCAATGTCCTAGTTGAAACGGTTGGTGCTTCAAAAGGAATTCTTTTTTAAGATAAGACACAAAATGTTCTTACATGAATACTTTAAGATTATTATGAGAAGTCACCATTGACCTCTTGTATTACCCAATGTCCATTTGTAGTTTGTTTCGACATAGTCGTCAAATTTTAGGAAAGTTAATTGTAACTTTTTCCTATCATCTAAATCACACACACTATAAACATTTATGTACTTTTCCTATCAATTTCCATACAAGTGAGTAAAAACCATTTTATTTCACTCTTGGTGTTTGGTTGCTTACGGTTTGTCCAGGTACTCGAATTTCAATCAAACTCTTATTAAAAGTGATTCATTGTTCTAAAAAATCAATTTCTTAGAGAACAAGTTTCAAGTTAAATAGGAGTAGTTCAACACAATACTTAAGATTGCCAAAGAAATGCAAAACTTATAGAAATTTGAAGACAAACTAGAAAAAGCATTAATAGAAAAAAAAAATTAAAACAAATAGGATGAGATTGGTACAAAACTTAGAATCAAAATAAAGAGATTAAAAAATATGAGTAATTGAACAACGTATTTAGAATTACTACTAGAAAATTACTTGAACATAACCAAATCATATATTCAAATTCAAAAGTATTAACGGTAACATGATTAAGATATCAACAATGTTAAAATCATTTGGTCAATCCAAAGAATAAGCAATCAATATTGCATCCAAGTTTGAACAATGATTTTTGTATTTGAACTTAATCTTTTATTTTTTATTTTTATAACTCACAGCCTTTGCTTCTTTTAATTACTTTTTAAATGCTTTTGATTTTCAAACTTAAACACAATACTAACATATAATTCAAAACAAAGTATGCACATTTGATCTCTATGTTTGTAATCAATCAATTCAAACAACCAGAATTTAACTTTGAATTCATTTCAAAATATATTCAAGTAATATGACTAATATGAGTTACACGAAGTAGACGTACCACGGGTAATCATATTCAATGAACAATCTTTTTCGATCATATAACACGTTGATCATTACAATCCTTCACAATATCATTCATTGAACATGATTATCCTATATTATCAAGCAAGAATATAACAATACAGATTTGTGAAATATTTTTCAGCAAAATTACAAGTATAAGTAAGAAATTAGCTAAAAAAAATTAATCTTGGGATTGAAATACTAAATGTCTTATGATTTGATGTATTAGTGATGAAAACTCAAACTTGTTTGCTAATTCATGTCAAATTGTGGGCTTCTTGTCTTCCATAGATTAAATAAAGCACTCTTTACCAAATGATATGGTCTATGATAATAATAATTTTCTTGAATTAAAAACAACTTTTATTATAGTTTGAGTTTTGTTTAGATTTAATTATTAGATTTTTATAACTCTCCACTCGACGCAAGTTGAAGAGTTATAATGAAATATACAAAATAAATAAGAAACAAATAATCATTCCATCATTTATCATTGGACACAAGTTTTTAACTGCTTAAATAAGTGAAAAGGTTTGTGAGAAAACAATATGAACAATATGAATATAAAATCAAAACAAATGAATCAAAGAAGAGAGTGAGAATCAAAGAATAACTGAACCAATAGCTACAAAGAAGTAAAGAGAAATTGAAAACAGAAAAAGCTTATGGAAGATGGAGAAGTCACACCACTTAAAAGCTTCTTCAAGATAAGTGGTGAATACTTGATTTATAGAAATCAAAATAAGATTCATTTAACAAAAAATTACAAATATAGAGGTTTCTCTCTCAAATTCTAATTTTCATATATGACATAAAGTGATTTTATAAGAAAGGAGATAACTATTTATAACATTCATGATGGAAATTGGAATAAATGTAAAATAACATTGAAATTCTAATGAAACCAACGTAGAAAACTTAAATTCAAATTTGAATCTAATCTTCCTTCTAAAATATCCTTGGTCATGTGATCTAGAATTTAAAAATTTAAATATAATCTTGATTCCAAAACATTCTTGGTGGTATGATTTAGAATTTAAATCTAATCTTATATATATATATTAAATTGAATTTTATCATAGTATAAAAAATAAATTATATTTTCATAGACACTTATTTGAAATGAAAATTGATTCTGAGAAATCAAAACTACTTTCAAAAACTTTTTTTTTTAAATTTGACTATTAAATTAAAACTGCTTTATACTTCCAATTTGACCATTCTATCCTTTGTATCTTGTTTTTACATCCCTGCATTATTCAATTGTTCTAAAAACAAGCTTTAGCATAGTTCTAATTGACAAAAATCATTATATGTTGAACGTCTTACCCATTTATCGAAAAACAAAAATTTTAATCACCAGGCCATGTTATGCGTGCCAAATACACAGCAAAATCCCATATCCATAAGAAGTTATAAGTAGCATCTAAAACTCTATACTCATTTGTGGCATGAGATCCATTATTCACTCCCTACAGCTATGAACTATGAATCCTGAAAGCTAGCCTTACGCCAGTAGTAGCTTAAACAATTTGGCCACCAATCTCATTTAGAAGCGCACAACCATATTTTTAAGTTGCCCACAGTTACTAGGAAAATTCTAGTTTGTAGGTGAACTGCCGACACAGTGGTTTGCTGCACCATTGGATTCAAACAAACTCATTACTGTTCCTATCAAATAGAAAAGGATTCAATAATGGTAAAAATGCATAGCTGATCTTGGACGTAACTAAATTCTGTAATGCTTAAAGGCTGCCAAATATCAGAAATTGACAGTTCAAAACTTGAATATGTAAACAACTCTCATCATGGGAATCTGAATAAGTAATCATTAGGTCGGGAAAAAGTGTAACTGTTCAAATTCTAAGCAAGTTCTGTAATTCATGAAACCATCTTGACTAGCAAAGGGAAAGTTATTGCTTCCTTCCTCTTCCTTTCTTGCTTGGTTGAGCATCTGTTTGCTCTTTTCCAGTGACTTCTGATAGATCAACTGCAGAATGATAAGTAGTGCAGAATGTAAAAAGAAATCTCAGCACCAGGTAAGAATTTCCAAAACACAATCAGTGTAAACCATAAACCAATACAGTAGTGGTATCTTAATCTCAAAAGAATGTGCCTTTGACAATTTAGCTAACTCGAATGTTGCGGAGAATTCGTTTTAGTTAAAGCATCATTACATTAACAGCTTAGAGTAAGACATATACCATCAGGACCACGGGCCATCAAGGCAAAGAACATATTGTTTAGTTTTTCCATCTTCTTAGCCTCCTGTGCTTGGTCTGTCTTATACTTTAGACACTGTAGAAAGTACAACAATTCACAATACGAAATTGAGTTTATGAGGGTAATATGCAAGAGGTAGTCAATCGTAAAACAACAGAAAATGATGTTTTTTGTAAGGAATATAACTACTGCATATCATTGAATCCACGATGGTCATAATTGTGGCTAAATTAAATTTTAACCACCAAAAAACATGAGAGGTCATATTCTTTTAATAAGAATATTACATTCTTGATCAAAGAAGTCTGATAGAATTGTTTTATTGGCAGAGTTATATAACATCTCAAAAACAAAAGAGGCATGCGAGCAGAAACTATAATGGGTAACCTCCTCTTATATACCATTCTTTTTCAATGAGAAAAAAGGCTACAAATTGCAAATATATTAATGATCATAAGTACCACTAAATTTCTAGATCTTGGAAATTCCTACAGATAGCAATGCCTTAATGTAAAACCTATAAGGCCAATGTGGCCCATCGGCCTAGTGAGATGTCTAAAGCTTACTAAATTCAAGTGAAAAGAGAACGACACATTGAGGGATTGGTAATACCAATTTAGAGGGTAGTATTTAAATTTTCTTATAGACCCCAAATCTTGTCCGGCTTCACAATAAAGACCAGAAATCCTTCATTCTGAAGATGAATAAGGCTTCATAGGACCTCTAGTAGTGTTTACTAGGTCTCATTTAAGAATAAGGAAGGATTTCTAAGAAAATAAAAAATCATTTTTTTATCAAGAAACATCGGATGGCCATCTAGAAGAGCCAGACGGCCGTCCACTTTGTTTAGTTAGTCATGGACGACTGTCCATGATAAGCAGACGATCGTCCACTCTAAATTTGAGCCATGGACAACCGTCCATGATAAGCAGACAGCCGTCCACCCTAAATTTTAGCCATGGACGATTGTCCATGATGTCCAGACGACCGTCCACTTCCCTGACTCGCTTCCCTATAAATAGAACCCCATTTCTCCCATTTTCACACACCACTACATACTTCTACCTACTCTCATACTCTCCTATGCTTTAGAGGACCTCTTTTGGGACTTTTGAGCAACTCTTAGCTTTTCTCGGAGTACGAGTGATCTTTTGACACTCAAGGAGTTTAGTTTTTTCTTTGTTGGAGTGAAGAGCGCAGTTGTAGAGTGAGGGAATCGTCAAAAAAATCCTCAAATTCTAAGATATATATAAAAGCTCGCTTTGGAGGTTTTCTTTCATATCTCTTCTCTTTTACTGCATTCCTTTATCGCTTTCCTTGTATGCATTAGATATTATGATCATGTAGATATTTAAATTTTGCCAGTAGATAAATAAATAGGGTAAAAGCTTAATTTCTCTTAGTCTTTATTTTATGAATTAGTCTATCATAAGGAACCCGAAAGGGGCATTGTGGGGTGCTAACACCTTCCCCACACGTAACTAACTCCCTTATCCAACTCTGATTATAATGGTCAAAGTTGATTTTTTCTAAAACCAACGCCTTTTTACCCTTTTCCTATGTTTAAGGTTAAAACATTGGTGGCGACTCCATAGAACCCATTTATGAAAACCTCGCTTTTAAGGTTTTGCCCGGTTATCGGACAACTTAAAACCGTTGACTACATAATTTTATGAAAACGCGAGTCCAAACCGTCATGTCATTCCGACTACCTCTTTGACGGTGGTGACATTCCTTTATGTACAAACAACCTTAGACAACAAAGATTATTCTCATCCAAGGGCAAGAATTTATTTTAGATGTGAATTGCTATCTTCTAAAGGGACTTTTGTTGGCTGTAGTAGAATTAGCTTAGACTTTCCTTAATCATGGTTATCAAATCGATATTCAAATCGTGAATCAAATCTTACTATGAATCGTAAGATACATGATAAATAAAATATGCTATTTTTAAGTAAAAATAAGTGATAAAAAACATTAAAAATATCATATATTAGAATGAAGTCAAAATATTCAATCCATAAAACCAAAACATAAAAATAAATGTCACCGAAATCCAATAACTTAATCTTATGCTTTCATTCGTTATCTCCAAGATCAATGTCATTTAGATCATCTTCCTCTAATATAACATACTCTTGCAGTTCATTTTCATCCTCTTCCTCAACTTCTCCGACCATTTCTTCAATTTCATTATCATTTGTTGTTATGGTAAATTTTCCTTTTTTGTCAACCTTAGTGGTTAAATTTCTTGGACCTATTAAATAACAAAAAAACTTTATAAGTATTGCAGTATTTATAATTAATTTAATAGCACAAGTTTTATAGTTTAAACAAATACCCCTCTTCCTTTTCTTGCTTGGAGCACCCTCTTCAAGAGTAAAAGATTCATGTATATCCATCCATGAAACATCATTTGGTAGGCAAGGATCCTCCTTTTCAGTAATTAACTCATCATATGATTCAATATCAGATAAACATATAGGATCATAAGTATCCCAGGCCCATATTCCCCAACAGATTTCAACATTTGGGCAAATAAGGAGCTTCTTACCAAATTAAATGATAAAGCATTGCCATATATGCATTTGCATGTCTTGAATCACCATCTCTATCTTTAAACATTTCATTCATGGTTTTTTGCTTTGTAATTCTTTGTTTCCCCTTATTGGCAAACGACTCTACGGTTTCTTTTTTATTACTACCTTGGATTTCCACTTCTTCAAAACAGTCTATCCTATTTGCTTCTTTAATTTTTTCTTTATCTTCTAACAACTTCAAAAATATGTCTCTAGTATTATCTGGAACATATGTGCAAGCAATGACATTCTCCTTTGTTCCAGCAAGATGATGTTTCATTCTTGCAACACTACCCCAACAAGTATGTGAACAATACTTGTACTTGACTAAAAATCTATGAAGGGGAACACTCTCACAATGACTCCATGTACTATCTATTTCTTTCTTCTGCTTTAACTGACTCATTGCTTCTATCAACAAAATAAACACAATCTTTAAATAAAAACTATTTTTTATAAAAAAATAATAAAATAAAGTCATAAATTAATTCAAACTAATTTAAAAAAAATAATAAAATATCAATTAATTTTATATAGAAAATAAATAATAATAATAATAATAAGTAATTATATATTAACTTAAATAGTAATTTCAATTAAAAATATAAAATAAAAAACGACAAATTAAATATTAAAGTAATAAAAAAAGTATTTCATATAAAAAAAGTCATAATTATTTTTTATAAAAAAATAAAAATAAATAATTAAGTAAAAAAATTATAAATTAATTCAAACTGATTTAAAAAAATAATAATAAAATATAAACTAATTTCATAAAGAAAATAAAAAATAATAATAATAACAAAAAGTAATTATATATTAGTTTAAATTGTAACTTTAATCTAAAATAAAAAGTGTAAAACCGAATTGAAAAAGTTACATCCCTTCACATGAGATATAAGGAAAATATCACCTATCACAACACATTCTAGACTCACCTTTTTTTTTTTTTTACTATAGAGCTTCTTCTCATCGTTGGGGCTGTTTTTCTCACCGCTCATGTAGCGCTCCTTTCTTCCTTCTTCTCACTTTACTAGTGGGACTGTTTTTTCTCACCGCTATTGGGTCTGTTTCTAATCTTCTATTTTACTACGTTCTTCCTTCTTCTCACCACAGGTCCTTTCTTCTCACCATGTAGCACTCCTTTCTTCTCACTGCACCGCTGAGGCAGTTTTTTCTCATCGCTGTTGGGTTTGTTTTTTTCTCGCTGCAGAGTTTTTTTTTTTTTTTCTCAATGATGTCTCTGCACACTTCCACCATTTCTCAATATATAGTGAGTTTAGTCACTTCCATTCACTCGATCCCTTCTTTTTTCTCATTCACTTCATTTCACTCTCAACAGTTGCTTCGTTTCACTCTCAGTCGCTTCGGTTCTTACCTATTGATTTCTTTTAAATACACTTGTTAGCATTGCAAGTAACAGAGTTGAATCGTGAGTATTACGATTCAACTTCGATTCATCCGATTCAAGCTTCAATTCAAAGCATAAAACAATACATGTAATAAATTATATCGTCGAGATTGATTTTTGAAACAAATCGCAATTCGAATCGTACAATTCGTATGATTCTAACTACCATGTTCTTAATTGTTAATAAAAAAAAAATGTTTTGTTGTGTTGTAAATGTCTTTGATTGTTCTACTCTTTCCCTATTCCTCTTATTTGTTACATACCCTTAGCCTTCCATTCTACATCAAACATCCTGAATGCAAATACAAATTTTATAGCTTTAAAAATTTGACAAAAGCTTTCATATTTACTTCTAAATTATTCCATGCAATCATGCATATTATGCTTTAATCAAAGACAATCTAGCAGGTTCAAGGATTCCTTGATACCTCTCTCGTTTAGGTCCCTCTATCAGAGAACATGCTGAACTACATAACAATGTTCTTTCCAATCTCCTCACAATTTCATCAATATCCAAGATATTATTGGATCGTAGTTTTGGTTAGGCAGAATCTTTCAAATGGTTAGATATCTCCGACATGCCACTCATGCAAGAGACCATTGGACAAGTGTACAGGACACACAAGCCCTTTTCATGTTGAACTGTCAACGTAAATAAAAAAGGGCCAAAGGAAGGGATTAACTTCAGACCACTTGGTTATAAATGCTTTGATACCAATAATACCTAAAAGCTTAAGCAGTTAGATGGACACCTAGAAATGAGTTTATGTCATCATAAAATAACAAGAATGCTCACAACACACCCTTTAGTGTTGGGTGAAATCATGTGGGCCAAAGTAAATGATAAATGAGACTCATTTATTGAGTTGAGATCCAAGTCATTCACTAGATCCAACATAAGTTTTACCCAATTGTTGAGTGTATTAGAAATGCTAACATTTCGCTAAAATTAATAAATATATAAAGTCAAAGGTGAAATAAACATTCAACAAAAACATTAACTTAATAGCCAGTTAGGCCATTCATCAGCCTTGAACTCAATTTTCATTCCAAAGTATTTGGAAAAAAAAATCAGCCATTATGCAAGATATGACGCTCACGAAAAATAAACAAGAAAACTATTTTAGTCTTTAAGCAAAACAGTATAGGTTTCAATAGAATGGGGTGTTTATAGCCCTATAGGAAGAGTAGTCCATAAATCCTTTATCCAAACCAAACAGGTAATAAAGTGAGATAGTAATATCTTACAATAACAATGGATAAAATATTATATGATAAAGTGGGATAATAAATCACTACTAGATTACAAACCTCAATTTCAAATCACATCAGAAACAAAATAAATGGTAGAGTATATTGCACAAACCACCTCTAACGTTTTATGAAATTACCAAAACATCCCCTACTTTTTCTATCCTTACACTTAGATCCCTTAATTGTGTAAAAAACATTACAATAATATCTTTCATGCATTGCATTAACCCCTCTAATTGTTTGAAGAACATTACATCATGAACCCCTATAACAAAGTTAAGTAAAAGTTAAAAAGTGGAAGGTGCTTGTGTAACTTCATGAAACCTCACGGTGGTCAATATAATTTACCAACAAGAACCTCCACCTTTTTAACATTTACAGTAACTTAGGAAGGAAAACAAAGCACACAACAACAGGGAAGACAAGAGCCAATGGTTTAAGGTAGAGAGGGAAACCACAACATATCAGAGGAGCAACCAGAGGCAGAGACTGTTGATCAAGTGTTAGGAAAGGGTGGGCTTTTTATCAATATGGGTGATAAAACCTAGGAGTACCAATCCAAAGTAATTCACCCATGGAAGTAAGTTAGCATGGCACACAACTCGGAAGGGAGGAAAAATAATCATGCCATACCATTCATCAAGTTGGCACAAAATTTGACAACCATGAAGTGCAAGATTGTCAACTAGTTAACTATCATGTGATTGGATTAAGGAAACGAGTTAACTCTCTACCAAACTCTTTGAAGAAAAACTTGGCTGAACACTTTAAACTCAAACTCTCAAGTCAAGAAGCAAAGTTCGCAAGTTTGAAAGAAATTGCAATTTTTGAACCTCAACGATCCTACATTGTAAGTGTTTTACAATGGGCCAGATGATTCTAAGAAATAAACTCCTTTTTTTAATGTTCTCACTTTATTTCTGTTTTGTTTTACTATGAAGTTGAAATATTGATTTATTGTCGTATTAAGATGTTACACCTATAACATGTCATTAGAAGTTTTTCAAATAGTATTTCTTATGATAAGCAAACTCTTACAAGTCTACAAGTTGAGTTTATGGAAGCCCCACGAGTCTTTGTAGACTCTCAAATTTACAACATGGATGAATTCCAAATTGCATAAATATCCTCACATAGTCCACCATGAAATCCATTGCATTGTATAAGGAATCAAAATTTTGAAATAGTCACGCTATGTTCGAAGATAAAGAAACCACAATCTTCATCTAGAGAACAACATTTTGTATTTAAGAATAAGATTATGATTTCACGTCAATTTATATTTTCACTCTCAAGCATGCAGATAAGACTATGGCATTTGAAAGTTAAAACACATTGAACATATATTTTTGTTTTAGAAAAAATGAACCAATACCTGTCGATTATCAGTGACCTTGAGTACCAACTTGCCATCACAGTGCCTGTACTTCATGACATACCGTGTCTGCTCCAAATACAATAGAACAAATTTCATTTTCTTGAAGATGTTAATAGAACAACAAGGACAAGATGTATAACTTGTACAATAATCATGAAACTGAATTTTAAAAATCAATAAGGTATAGCACAACTGAACATGGAAAGAGATCGTATGTAACCAATTACAAGCTTTTATAAGCATAAAATAAAACAAGTATGAATGAGATTTATCAGGCTTCTGTTACTTTAAGAAACTAAACAACATGAAGTACGGCATTACAGAATCAGGGTCAGCACGGAACAACTCAATGGATTGCTCCACAAACTTGTCCCACTCAGTTATATAAACCATCGCACCAGATAGAGACTTTGGAGAAGGAGGCAGGGAAGATCGATTGAAACAATTTTCTGCCTGTTGTCAAACTCTGGTAAACTAAGTTCGCCTGCATGTAAATAGGAGAAAAAAAATTTATAAAAAACCAGCGTCATTAAATTGATAATCATGGGTACATATAACAAAAAATTAGGAACTTATAGTTAGTAATGAACTTTCATTATATTAACAAAACTCATTAAGCAACAAATTTATATGACATTCTCACATCTCCTGATATTTTACATGAATATTATCAACCAAATGAACCAATCTACAATTTTCCGCATATAAAAACACATTTATAATAAAAGAAAAGAAACTTGTCAGAAAAACAAATTGTCTTTGTAGTGAAGGAATGTCTCATTCTTACATATCCTCATTTTGGCTCAAGCCCAACTTTCTTAAGATCTAGCAAAGTCAATTACGAAGAACAATGCAAGTTCACATATTAAAAGAGGGCACTGCATAAGATAAGTAATTCAAGCAGTACAAGGTTCATTATGGAATCTAAAACCCTCCCACACCATCTTCCATGCCATTCAAGCACTTTACACACACGCGCGCAATTCACTTATAGGTAATTAGCTAAATAAACAAACCCCCTTAATCAAGGAACCTACCACAACCAATTAAGCATGTTATGTAGTCGTCAATACATGACAACCAAAACCCACATGGAAAAATCCTTCTAACATCTCTCATTCATTCAACAACGACACAGAAATACCCATTTAGGAATCAACCTTAATCAATTGATCCCTGACAAGTAAAATACGTTATCAATTCGAGTCAAGTTTGATCCAGAGCAGAATACCAAAAGTTGATTCAATGCCTACCTGAACGAGCCACAAGAAACAAAAGGGCGCGCTGAAAACCCTTGAATGGGAGGAATTTGTGCGTTCTTCTATTTAATCCCAACGGGTCAGAGCCTCCTCACTAGTTCCAAAGCCCGAGAGCTTGTGAGCAATGCTGGCATGCCTTTTCAAACTGTAAACTTGGGTTAGACTTAGATCTGCTAAACGGAAAAGTTTTAGAGAGGCCTTTTAACTTCCGGTAAATTGGCCACAATTTGGTTGAACTTGATTTTAGTTATTATTATTTTTTTTTTACTTTTAGGTTAGGAATTTATTTTAGTGCTTTTTTTATTCTTTATTATTTATTGTTAATTGTAATTATTTATGGTTTAAAATAAAAATATTAGTTTAGATAATTAAGATAGTTAAAATATTTTTTAGAAGAAAAATTAGTATTTTCAATTCTGTATTTTAATTTTTAAGACGATTATACTATTTTTAACTAGGTATTATAATTACATAATTTTTTTACAATCTTTAATATATTATTCACGGTAATTTTATTTTTTAATATTATTTTACTTCGCTATAAATAGATTATTTTTTACTTATTATATAGTAATTTGGTTTAAATATTCTACTTTTTAAAATATATATAATTATTTTCTATTTAAATATCTTTTATGAAGGAAAACAATCCAAACTAATAAATCATCAAATCACCTTGTCTAAGCTAACTAAATTATCTAATCCCCATAATCCCCATATGGTTGGTTTGTCATGTATCAAGTGCATTAGACTCAAAATCATTTTTTTTTATCTACATAATTGTGTCCTAAAGAAGAGATTCTTAATTATACCACAAAGTGTTATACATAATAACGTTTCTAAAATTGGATTAAAGATATAAGTTCAAGGTTTTAAAATTTAATAAGTTTAATAAAATAATATTTTTATAATATAATAAATATAACAACATTTTCTATAAAAGAAAAAATAATAATAAAAATTACGATAATATTGTAAGTTATAATAAAATTATAAATATAAAATATATTAAAAAATATAAGATAAATAATAATTAAAGTTTGATGAAAATATAATAAAATAATTATTATTTAAAATTGACTGTAACTAATAAAAGATTAAATATATATATATATATTATATAAAAATTATATTAAAAAAATTGATCTTTAAATTTGTTTTAGCAAAACTAATTCAACCTAATAACCCGTCAAATTTCTCAAATTTACATTTTTATGCCGATTTTTTCAAGTTTGTACCCATTCCTAATTAGACTAATTGAACATTTTAGTCTAATCCAAATTTCAAAATAATAGTTATACATATTAACATGTATCATTTATGAAAACTCATATCTAGAAAGTTTATTAGTGATCTTCCTAAACTTATATTTTATATTTTAGAAGAAAAAAATTATAAAACATGTTAAAAGGGAAAGCAAATAAAGGTATGTTTAAAAACTCAAAATTTGATTTTCACATCTAACCTTTCTAACTTTTGTATGGAGATTTTTTTTATTTTTTATTCTTCAAGAACCATGAGTCAAGGAGGAAATTACTATGCTCAGGTTATTATAGATGATTTTTTTAAAGACATAGGAATTGATTTTACCATCTAAAATAAGATGCATTCAAGTCTTCAAAAAAACTAGTCAATCTATTAAAAAAATGAGAAAGGTTGTAAAATTGTTGTAATGACAACGGAGGAGAGTTTCAAAATATGGAAATTGATTCATTTTTTGAGAACACATGGTATTGACTATAATTTATCTACTCTCAGGACACCATAACAAAACGGGGTAAAAGAAAAAAATAGGTCGAAAGAGTTTGTTAAAACTATGCTTAATGGGTTTAACCCACCTAATTACTTTTAGGCACTATGAAGAGTCTATAGTTAGATTTCAGCATATTGAATTGGAGACTTGCTGTTTAAGCAAGACCTTTGAGAAGATTGAAGTTTCCTTTATCTTCTTTTACTACATATCTTATGAACTTTTTTCTTCTGTTGGTGTTGTTTTTATGCTCTTTATGTTGTACTTATTAATGGTTTATGAAAATCAATCACTACCTTTCATCTGGACTTATAATTGTTTTAGCTAGATTCATAAAAAATTTCTTTTCCAATTTTGATGCAGTAAAAAAGGGGAAAAGAAATATGTTGATATTGTCCACGACACACATAAACACAATGCCTTTCACTATTTTGCAAGATATTGAATGTCTTCATCAAATAAGGTAAGATTGAAAAGCATGCTAGATTTGATGAAGTCAAACCCTCAGTTGTGTTGTAGGATCTGATGAAGTCAAAATGTTATGTCTTGTTGTGTGTGTGAGTGTGAGTCTAGAGTATGATAGTATGTATGTTTTAATCCATTATCTAGCTAAATCATACTCTAAGATAGTAAGAATGTCTATTTTTTTTATTAAATCTTGGTTTATAGTTGTTTTAATATATTAAAACTATTTTTAATATGTTAAAATGTTGTTTGACTTATTTTTAAATGATAAAAATTTAAAATAATTTATTAATTTCACTTAATTACTTAAACATTATTATGTTTCAAAGCTTTTATTGATTAAACTACATCTTTTATGAGTTAAAATATTCTTGATGATGTTTTTAGAAATTGTGGTTCCTTACTCTAATCGATTAAAACACCTTCTTATCCGTTTGTTCTTATAACTTAGTGAAATTTTTTACTTTATTATTTTAATCAATTATTTGGAAGTGTTACAATTTAAAAATGACCATTGGAGCATGAAAGAATTATGTTTCATTGTTTTAAACAATTAGACTCATTCTTCATTAATGAAAATGTATTTTTATACTTAGAATTTTTGTTTGCTTTGTTTTAATTGATTAAATGTGTTTACATTAGTTAAAACAACTTATTGAAATTTTCATAAGGATTTGTCTATTTTAATCGATTAAAACCACAAAATAATCGATTAGGTTGTTTTAGTAAAAACAATCGATTAAATGCACGATTTAATGGATCAAAATAGATAGTTTTTCCTATATAAACAATTTCAATATCTCTTTTCTAATATATGATTTGTGAAAAGGTTTAAGCAAATCTGTGAGAGATTTCGAGAGTTTTACATGCGTTTTTCATTGTGAGTTAATTTAAAACATTCTTAACACATTTCTTTTACTTTCTTGAAGACTTGATGTTGCTTGGTTGTTTCAAGAGTGGCTCTTGGATGTTTAAGAAACTCTTGGGATAGATAGAGTGTGTCTACCTAGGTTATTATTGATTTAGTGGAACTCAGTTGATTGTGTTGAGAACTAGATGTAGCCTAAGTGGTTGGGTGAACAAGTAAATTATTGTGTCTTCTTTTCTCTTTATCTCTTACTTCTTTCATTTTCATTTTATTTCTTGCTTTATTCATCAATTATTCTTGAAAAGATTAATTTTGTTCTTTCAGAATTGGTTTAATTCAAAAAGGTTTTGAAAAAAATTTAAAAAGATCAATTCACCCCCCACCCCACTTGATCTTCGTCATTGATCTTATCAGTGAGGTGTTTACAGTCCCTTGTAGTTAATTCTTGCACTTTCAAACCTCTTTAGGAAAATCTTCCCCTCTCTTCTTAACAACACCTAAGATGCTACCTTTAAGAAGAAGTAAACTTCCAAGAAAAAGGGAAAGAAAAATTATATTGTTCCTTTAAGTGCTCAAGATGCAAGGAGCAAGAATTTCCTAAACATACAATTGATTCAAGAAAAGAACTAAATAATGAATTAATTACAAGAAAATTAAGATACCATGATCGAACTACATATACCTCAAACAATTGCATACATGACCAAAAATCAAAGACAAATAAAAAGAAAGATGAAGGTACATATCTCTTGAAGACCTCCATACCTAGCTTTTAATATCAAATTGATGTAAAAATTCTCCCTCGTTCCACCAAGTAGAGTCACAATCAACCCTACATCAAGAACACCTAAGTTGTTATCAAAATTCTTTCCCAAGTTTCTTAAAGAAACTCGACATTAGCTTCTCCAAAGAAGGTTCTTTGTTTAGGAGAGTAGGAGAAAGAACTCCAAAGAAGACACTTGAAGACAAGCAACTGGGTACAAGTAAAAGATCCAAGTTCCACACACTAACCTTAATTTCATTCAAACGTATTAAAAAAACTACTTAAGGG